GTGGTACTGCAGATTGACCCACGCCCGGGGAATTAACCTTGTGCTGCCTCTGTGCATACCTATTTTCTATACCAGTACAGAGGTGGAAAGGGGTCATGAATAGACAGAAGTTTAAGAGGCCTCGTTCTTGATCAGTTGGGACTTGTCTCTGTTCAGGCAGTTTAGCAGAAGCACTGCAGTGCCTGTCATGTTCTTGCTGCTTGGAGTGACTGTATATGCCATTTGATGATCAGAAGATCTTTTGGGGTGGGCCACAGAGGTAGTACAATGGGTAGGGTGCTTGTCTTGTGTACGGCTGACCCAGGTTTATCCTTGGCACCCCCTGTGGTTTCCCAAGCCCTCCAGAAGTGATTTCTGAGTGTGGAGTAGTCTAGGTGTAGTCCAGCACCCCCACCGCAGTCTCTTTTTTTATGGGGTGGGGGAAATTGGGGGACCATAATCCTGTGGTGCTCAGGGCTACCCCTGGCTCAGTGCTTGGGGATTTCTTCCAGGGGTGCTCTTGGGACCATGCTGTGCTGGGAATTGACTTTAGGAATCCCGCATGCAAAGCATGCACAGTGTTGTTGAGAGGGGTCACATCTGGCAGTGCTCAGGGGCCGCACTTGGCTCTGCAGTAACTGTGCACATCAAAACCATAAAGGTTAACACTATGTTACCTAAAATAAATAAACTTTATATTTGAAGTAACTATTGTTAGCCATTTTATTTTGGGTATACACAGTTGTACCTCATCACCATCAAGTGCCTGAGGCTCTCCACCTCTGTGGCTTTGCGTTCCCATTTCATTGCCTCACACTAAAGATCTTTTTTTTTTTTATCAGAGATTTAATCAGGTCCTTCTGCTGACTTTAATAAAATTTAAATTTCTGCTTATTCAAAACTGGAAGGGCATTTTACCGTGAACACATAACCAATGTCTGCAATTCAAGCCAGACAGACTTGGCAGTGAATCATATTCTGAGGGAAATAAGTTTGTTCCCAGATCAAACAGTATCTCTCTCAGGCTGGTTAATCGACAGTTGTCTGGCACTCCCTCTAGAGAACTATCAGTCTTGGAACTGAGAATTATATTTGAAAAAATCAAAAGATGGGGCGGGTAGGGCATGTGCCTTGCACGCGACAGACCCGAGTTCAATCCCCGGCATCCCATATGGTCCCCTGAGCACCTCCAGAAGTAATTCCTGAGTGCAGAGCCAGGAGTAACCCCTGAGCATTGCCGGCTGTGACCCAAAAAGCCAGACAGGGAGAGGGAGAGGAGAGAGGTAGGGGGAGGGGAGAGGGAGAGAAAATCCAGATCTTTCTCCTCCTATCTCACACAAAGAAACCATGAAGTGGGCTGGAGAGTTAGCACAGGAAGTAAGGCGGTTGCCTTGCATATGGCTGACTCTGGCTCCACCCCCAGCCTTGTTTCTGGTCTCTTGAGTCCCTGGAGTGACCCCTGAGCAAAGGAGCCAGGAGGAGCCCCCTAAATACCACCAGCCATGACCCAAGCCACCACCACCCTTAAAAAATCGAGGAATTATTGTAACCTTGAGTATATTTGACTGAATGTCACTGGTGTGGATTGTGATTCCCGGAATTGGTTCACTTTTAGTCTAATTCTAGTGTTCGTGGGATCTGTTATATGCTATCATTTATGCAATAGAAAGTACAAAATGTTCCTTATTGTTAGGTCATCTCTAAAGCAGAAAATGGAGGGGAGAGATTTTTTTCCCCACCTGTGGGACCTAATTTTGCTCTCTGAATATGCAACACCAGCTGTGTTGTCTGTGAGCTGGAATAGCAGTGCCTTGATGCTATTTCATGGGTCTGAAGGAACTTGCACATAGAAACTAAGAAGACATTTATGACAGTGGGTTTTAGGAAATCTTGTTGGCACCATCAGATGAATTACTTAACCATGGACTTAGGAAATCTAGATTCATGTAGAAGTTGCCACGTTTCTCGATAGGCTGTTCTGTATAGGGCATATGGCCAGCCACCTTCCCTGGAAAACAGCCTCTATTTTTCTTTAGTTCAAAGGCCTTAGTCTTCACCAAATACCTAAGTTTTTTAAGGCTAACAAGGTCACTCAGTGGACTGGAGAACAAAATCCCAGTTGATTTTTCATGTATATTACACATGGAACTATAAACTGTAGGATCTCTGAGATTAACTTTTTCATTTTGACTATAGAGATAAGTTGCTTCTGTGGTTTTTTTTTTTTTTTTTTTTTTTTTGCTAGGGGACCACACCTGGTGGTTCTCAAGCTTATTCCTGGCTCTACAGTTAGGGATCACTCCTGGCAGGCTTGGGGATTGCACCCTGGTCTGCCACTTGCCAGTCAAGTGCCCTACCTGCTGTGCTCTCCCCCGCCCCCAGCCCTTTCTGTGGTTTTTTTTTTTTTGATGAACTAAATTATCTGTACAGTTCTCATAGCTATCGGAACCCCTGCTGAAAAATTAGCATTAATGCAACTGATTTTCTGAATTTCAGGTGTCATTCCAACCCTCTGGAAGGAATTGGATTTTGCACTCAAACTTTCACTTGTTCTGTTTTAGTTACTGCTGCCCCTTGGATAGTACCTTTAAAAATTGTAAGAGCAGGAATCTTTTGTACTCTTTTGGTACGAAAGATTGAAAAGAGTTACTGTCATAAAACATAGTCAAGAGACAAGTTCATCACTCTCCTGGAGCCCACAAACAGACTTCTCTCGAGTGACAAGATTGTAAACAGTAGGCTGAAGAGTTTGGATGAAGATGAGATGGGCCCATCAGATGCCTGCTCTGAGCAGAAATTTACTGGCAGGCCTCATTTAATGAGAATTAAATCAGCAAAGGGCTTTGCTGCTAACAGATGGGAAGGGCATTTGCCACAGGCCTTTAGCTTCCCTAACTGGGGTGCCTGAGCTGGTGCAGCCCCCTGCTGTTGTGGACAGTGGGGCCAGCGAAGTTTCTTTTCTGTTGAGCCTTGTTTCCACCCCCAACTCCTCTCAAGTCCTACAGATGCTGGTTTATTTGCACACTCCATGCTGATGTTGGATTGAAAGCCTCTCGTTGTTCTTGAGCCCAGTGTTTCGATAACACTACATGCCTGTGGCAGCTCAGGTCACCCTGCGAAGGCAATGCCCTGGCTCTGACAGCCCCATCATTCATTCCCTGTGTGGTGAGAACCTTTCTGCAGGGATTATTACCAGGGCCTAGAGGAATACCAGGCAGAATTCTTGATGTTTGGTGTTTTAGGGCCTGTTTGCTAAGTCCCTTGTCTCTTTCATTGTAATCAGGAAAGATTAAAGTGTGCTTTCTTCAACTCTTGTTTCCCCACATAACTTGACTGTTAGAGCATTCCTCACTGGGCTGAGAACGTCTTTGGGGACACAGGAGTGATCGTGGCTAGTGGGACTGTTTTTTTGTGACCAACCCAGACTGGCCACTGCCTTTGAGCTGCGCTTCTAGGGGTTTCTTTGCCTGTAGCATGTCTCCCTTTTAATTCCCTTCATCATCTTTAACACTTGACTAAAAGGGAGATGTGTTGCCTTCATTCACTCTTAAGTCTTTGAAGCACGTAGCTCTTAAGGTTTCACTAGGTTAAACTCTCAGAACAAACTCTTTAATGAAGCTAGGTGAACAGAATTAAACATATCAACCAAAGAATATTTCAGAGACAATGTAAATCTGTTGGGAGTTGAGATCTCTTTCAATGTCTTTGAATCTGTTGGGAAACAAGATCTTCTTCTTTTCCAATTATTTCACTGCTTGCTTGGTATCTAATTTGAAAAAAATTTAAAGGTTCCAAATTTAAAGGTACTTATCGTGCCATATGGAGTCTAAAAACTCTGAACAGATAAAAAATATTTTCAAATAGATGGAGAAAGAGTTCCAGCACTTGCCTTCGAATGGCCTACCCTCATTCCATTCCAAGCACCTCATCGTCCCCCAAACATTACCAGAGGCAACACAGGAGGCCCCCAGGAACTACAGATAATCCCTGACTGCAGATCTGAGCAGCACTGTATCCTTGGGCCCTCACATTGAACCCTCCTCAGCACCCCTTCAGAGGACCCCCTAAAAACAAAAAGAAATGCTTTAGTAATAAGGTGATTATTACTGAAACATATGGCCAGGATAAAACTTCAATTATCTTGTACCTCTAATACAAAATATAAACATATCCCTGATTACCAACCGTGATTAACCAGTTAGTGTGTCTGTGACTCACTTCCCAAGGTCTTTTTTTTTTTTTTGGTTTGTTTGTTTTACTTCCCTGGGTCTTGAGAAATATCTGCTTAACATATAGTTAGCTCAGATATATGGAATAATTTGTCATGTCTCTTGTTTCAAGATACTTTTGTTACCTACCACTTTCCTATAAATTTACTGGTAATTTTGGAGATTTAAAATGAGGGGACTAGTGCTGGAGAGAGAGTACAGAGGCCGCAGCTGTGGCTGGACAATAGTTCAAATCCCAGCGCCTCATATGATCTCCTGATCCTGTCATATGTGGCCCGTGAGCACCAGTAGTTCTTCTGTCCCACTAAAAATGTTGAGTAACTGATAAAGTAAATAGCTACCTTTTATATAACCAATTTTCTCATTCTTACTTTGGACAAACTCACAGGCTACCGAATGTAACCTGCTAACACGGCAGAGTCTGGCAAACTCCCCGTGGTGTACCCAGTATGCCAAATACCAGTAACAATGGTCTCATTTCTCCTAACCCTGAAAAAGCCTTGAATATGGCACTTTTTAAAAAATCTCAGGGCTAGGATAAAGGAGACGTTACTGGGGCCTGCTCGAGGCAATCGATGAACAACAGGATGGTCGTGATCGTGACATATAACCAAGGAGCTGTTCTATCCTCACTACCTTTCAGCTCATTACCTGAAATACCTTTTTGCCAAAATTCAATGTACATGTCTGAAGAGAACTTCTGGACACATGTGGGGAAGAAATGCATGTGGTATGTTTTGCAGATTCTCATCTGTTCTGCTTGACGTTGATCCTGTGCTTTATGTCCTCCAGTTCTCTCCTGCGGTATGGTGGCAACTTATCCCTCCAAAGTGCCATGAGCGTGCGATTCAACAGCAATGGGACTCAGCTCCTGGCCCTTAGGCGTCGCTTGCCCCCTGTGCTCTATGACATTCACTCCCGCCTGCCTGTGTTCCAGTTTGACAATCAGGGTTACTTCAACTCTTGCACCATGAAAAGTTGCTGTTTCGCAGGAGATCGTGACCAGGTAAGTGCTCTCCGCTTCCTGCATTCCACACTCCTGCTTTTCTCGTAGCTGCTTTTTCTGGACCATGCTGGTCTTTTTTTCTTCTTGGCATCAGCTCAGGCAGAGGCAGACAGTTGAGTGGAAGCACTGGAGGAGGATGTTCTGGCTTGACAGTGTCCTGAGAGCTGCCCCTGGTTGATGCAAGCACACACCAGGACTCGAAACTGGTCACAGAACGTTCCTAAACAGCCTAGCCTGTGCACTTATAAATGGACTTTAAGATTTAAGAATGCCTCATTTTAAAAGAAAGAAGACTGTCTATGGAAAACAAGCCTGCCACTGAGACCTTTTTTTCTTCTGTCAACAGAATACAACAGTGAATGAAAAATTCTTAAATGTCATCCAGAAACCGTATATCTGGCATGGTCCTTGGGAATGGCATCTTTTTCTTGGGCAAAGGGGCTGAACAGCTCTTTTATTTTTATTTATTTATTTATTTATTTTTATTTTTATTAGTGAGACATCATGAGGTACAGTTGTAGACTTACAAATTTTTGTGCTTGGGTTTCAATTATACAATGATCAAATACCCATTTCCCACCACCACGGATCCCAGTATCCCTCCCACACCCATTCCCCCCCCCCCCCCCATCCCACCCTGCCTCTGTGGCAGGGCTTCCCTTTTGTTCTTTCTCTCTTATTGGGTGTTGTGGTTTGCAAAAGAGGCAATCGGTGACAATCATGTTTGGTCTATAGTCTACTTTCAGCATGCTTCTCCCATCCTGGGAGGATCCTCCTAACACCTTTATTTGGTGTTCCCTTCTCTATCTGAGCTCCCTTTTCCCCTAGCATGTGTGGCTGGCCTCCAAGCCATGGAGTAAAATTCCTGGTACTAAGCACAGCGGGTAGGGCGTTCGCCTTACACGCAGCCAACATGGCCGACCCGAGTTCGATTCCTCCGCCCCTCTCGGAGAGCTCGGCAAGCTACCGAGAGTATTCGATATGCCAGACACAGTAACAACAAAGTCTCCAATGGAGACGTTACTGGGCCCGCTCGAGCAAATCGACGATCAACGGGAGGGCCTTTACCTTTACCTTTTAATCTCGGCCATTCTTGGGTATTAGTCTCCTACTTTGTTACTTTATGTTCCCCAGATGAATGCAATCTTTCTATGTCTATCCCTTTCTTTCTGAGTCATTTCGCTTAACATGATACTTTCCATGTAGTACCACTTGTATGGGGGCTGGAGCAATAGCGCAGCAGTAGGGCGTTTGCCTTGCATGTAGCCAACATGGCCGACCCGAGTTCGATTCCTCCGCCCCTCTCGGAGAGCCCAGCAAGCTACCGAGAGTATCTCGCCCGCACAGCAGAGCCTGGCAAGCTACCCGTGATGTATTCGATATGCCAAATACAGTAACAAGTCTCACGATGGAGATGTTACTGGGCCTGCTTGAGCAAATCGATGAACAATGGGAGAACCATGACCACTTGTATGTAAATTTCATGACTTCCTCTTTTCTAACAGCTACATAGTACTCCATTGTGTAAATGTACCAAAGTTTCTTTAACCAGTCATTGAACAGCTCTTTTAGAGAGGAAGTTAGATGCCAACTCTTTTTCTTTTTCTTGCCAGAGTCACAACTGGGAAGGATAATGCAGACTGTGAGTTATAGCCATTTTAGAGTTACCCTGGGACTTGGGATACTAATGTCCCAAGGTTACTAGTGTTGACAATTTAAAAACTGCAGTTTGGGGCCAGAGAGATAGCACAGTAGGCAGAGCCCTTGCCTTACATGTGTCTGACCTGGATTTGAACCCCAGTACCCCACAAGGGCCCCTGGGCCCTACCAGGAGTGATCTCTGAGCACAGGGCCAGGAGCCATTTCTGAGCACTGCTGGGTGTGGCCCAAAACAAACAAACAAAAACCTGGCAATTTAAAAGCCTACTTGTCATTCTTTTTTTTTTTCTTTTTTGGCCATGAGTAGGGGGGCTGGGGGAGGCTGCACACAGCGGTGCTCAGGGTTACTCTTGGCTCTGCTCAGGAAACACTCCTAGTGGTGCTTGGGGGACCATATGGGATATGGGGGATTGAACCTGGGTTACCTTGTGCAAATCAAGTACCCTACCTGCTGTGCAGTCACTCCTGCCATTCTTGTCACTCTTTCACCTGTCTGTCTTGGCCTTAAAAGTTCTGCAGTGGGTGTCAGTGAGTGAACCACTTGGATTGGTCTGCATAATTGAGTTTTTATTTTATTTTTTACATATATAAAGAAACATTGAGCAGATGAACAAATGGAATTACTTATACACAACTTGTTTTATTGGTAATTCATATCTAGATTGGACAAAGACCATTTTCTCTTGTTAATATGTGGTATTATCCTTGAATCTATCAGTTATGTTAGATTTTGACATCTAACCCTTTCATGCAGTGCTAAACCTCCTTAGAATTATTTTTGGGTATTGGGCCATAAAATAAATACTTCTTGAAGTCCTTGCTTTACGAAGGGAGAAAGTTGGATTTTTCTCCTTAAGACTAGGTTGTTGGAGGCTTCTGGTCAGAGCTAAATGATTAGTATATGTAGTAGGAAGGCAGTAGGTGCTTGTTGCATGTACAGTAACATGAGAAAAATTGATTTCTTGCTTTGTAAATAGAAACTGTAGAATAAAATTTAGAATTTATATTCAAATTGGAGTCGAGGGCTACTAGAAACCACTAGGTGGCCTCAGTTATGTAAGTCATATCTCTTTGGAGCAGCCATGGTGCCTTAATAACTTCATTTTTTCCAGGCACTTTGTATCTTTGATGGAAAGAAGCAGTTTCTAGAGATGAGATTCACAACAGAGCAGACAATGGTGTGATCTGACTGGGTAGCTTTCATTGAGCTGGGAAATAGTGATCAAGCCTGTCCCATCTTCTCTCTTTCCTTCTTTCTTTGCTTCCTTGCTTCTGTTTATTTTTCTATATTCTTTCAACCGTCTGTATTTGTAATGCACCTCTCACTGACTAGTAAAAAGCAGGCACTAATTGTAATGGTTTGTTAGACTCTGTTGTCTGAAACAGAGTAGAGAGACTGATGAGAGAAAATGTGTTTCACTATTCTGTTCTAGCAGTCAAAGTTTGAGTCATGAAGTCATCATAGTGCAGAACAAAGACATATGTACAACACCTTGACCATGGTGTCTCAACCATAACACTGTTGGCTTTTTGGTAAAAAGAAAAAGTTCTTTGTTCTTTGGGTGTAAGACTGTTGTCTCCCTTGTAGGCTGGTAAGCAGCATCCCTGTCCTCTCCCCACCAGATGCCACTAATATCTTCCCTAATTTTCCCCAGACAACCAAAAATTTTCTTGTTGCCATATGTCCCCTAGAGAGAAAATTGCCTCTTGTTAAAAAAAACCTGACTTAAATTATAATACAAATTTTGCCCAGAGACTGTGGGCATACATTGCCCCAAGCAGGAGCCATACAAGGTATTTTGTCATAGTGCTGCATGTGTATGTTAAAAAAGATAAAATAATTTATAATAGTTTTTGACGTTGGAGTTATATGTAATGATACAAACATTGAATGCCTTGATTTTATCTATTCAGATTTGACCAATTGTTTTATTTGTGACTTTTATCCTGTAGAAGGAACTTAAGAGTGCTATATTCAGCCTGACAAGCTTTTAAATTTCTTTTTGGCTGAGATAAGTGTTTTTCCCTGTAAAGGGAGAATGCAAAATCATTGAGTTAGTTCTAGAATTAAAGCCTTTAATCTGTTCGTGTTCATCATATAGATCTCAGAGGCATATAACCTAAGGGAGAGGAAGTATTTATATTTGGCTATTTTATTCATTCACTCCTTGGGGACTAGAAATAATTCACTGATGTCTCCAAAGTCTGGTGTACAGTGAAAATATAATATATGTTGAAGTCCATCTTAAGTACCTTGGTCAATGTGTGTTTCTGGCTTTCTGGGTCTAAGTTTCTCTAACAGTAAATCAAAATTGATAAGTACCATTTTTTTTTACTGTTCAAACTTTGAGGGCTTTAAGAGGATGAAACTAACTTACTGAACTTGGAGCTTTTAAAATGTTGCATAGGAGACCAAGAACACACTATTATTCTCTGGAATTTGTCTCTGAAAGCTGATTTATAGACGTTGACTTTCCAATCTTAGGGTTAAAGCAACAGCTGCCATGGTTTACAGTATGATCTGCAGTTCTCTCTCTCTCTCTCTCTCTCTCTTTTTCTCTCTCTCTCTCTCTCTCTCTCTCTCTCTCACACACACACACACACACAGAGTTCAGACAAGAACTTTTTTGCTGCTTTAAATTCCTAAGCCTACCCTTTCCTTGTATTGGACTTTGTTCTTGTGTGTTTTGAGAATACCCACAGCCAGTTTCTGTGCTCTGGAACTCTTCATTAAGTCAGAGGCTGGGTAACCATCCCAGAGTGGAATCTGAGAATTTCCTTAATAGGAATGAACATGGTCAAGAAAGGCAGTCAGTGACCTCTCGGTCTAAGACCGTCTTCTGGCTTTTAATTGCAGTATTAGTCACACAAGTGGAGAGAGCCTGTACTTTGTAGATTGCCCTACATTCACTAGGTAATTCTTTGCCTCAAAACGAAATGAACATTCAAGAAACTGCACTCAAGGAATCGTCTGAAATAGACTGAACCTACTTTTGTCTCCCCCATGTTACTGTCATCATAGAAGCTGACATTTCTTTTTCTGCTGGGGGACACAGCCAGCAGTACGCAGGGGTGTGCTCGGGGGACCGTGGGGTGCTGAGGACTGAGCCCAGGTCTCCCGCTTGCAGAGCATGTGCTCTCAATCGATTCAGCTATCACTCCAGCCCTACCTATAGGTAACTTTGAATTAGAGAGCTCTTAGAGATTTTGTATCGATCCATTTTAAAAATAGATAGGAAACAGAGACTCGAGACGTGAAGTTTACTCAAGGTGAGTTTGCTTCCCAGGTGTGTCGGGAAGCTGACTTGGGAAGCTAAGACTAGGACCCAGGGTTTTTAAAA